AAAGCATTAGACCTTGACAAATGACTATCTTACAGGATCCTGGAAGGAGACAGCTGAGAGCCCGATTGCACAGCGGGAATGTACCTCACCTGTGTAGGCCAGGTGTAGCCCAACTCAGAACAAGCTATGACCCCTCCCTGGTGAGCTTACCTTTAAATATCCCCTTCTAAATCCCTTTGAGGAGCCAGTTAATTTCTCCTTTCTGGTACTGGTTCCCCTCATGCATGAGTCTCTCTAATAAAGCCTTGCCTGTTTCAACTATACCTAGTACTGTCTGGAGAATTTTTTTCCCTAGAAAGCAAAGTACCCACTCTTTTGGATCAGGCCCTGAACAAAAGGTATGAGGTTTTGGTTGAAATCCCCTTTTTTAAAAAATACATAGATCTAAAGTCCAATTGTTCCAGCACCACTTCTTGAAAAGGCTCCCTTCCTTCATGGAATTGCTTTTGTACTTAGGCCAGAAATCCATTTAGCATATTATATAGATCTATTCCAGGATTCTCTATTCTTTTCCATTGATCTGTCTGTCTGTCCTGCTGCCAGTACCACACAGTCGTGGTTCCTGTAGCAATGTAGTATGTCTTGAAATGAGGTGTAATGATTCTTTGCTTTGTTCTTTTTCAAGTTTGTTCTATCTCTTCTAGTTCCTTTGCATTTGATTATGTGTTTAAGAACAATCCTATCTATTTCTTAAAAACATCATGATGGTATTTTGATGAGAATTAAATTAAACCTATATGTAAATTTGTGGAAAATTGATGCCTTTACTACTTTGAGTCTTTTACCTCTTAATGTAGTATGTCTATTCGTTTAGATTTCATTATCCTTTTGTAGTTTTAGCAGATAAGACCTCCTGTTCACTGGCAATATAGAAATCTAATTAGTTTTTCATGTTTCTCTTGAGTCATGTGACTTTTCTGATCTTATTGGTTTTAAGAGTTTCATTATAGATACCTTAGGAATTTCTAAGTAGACAATCATGCTATCAGATAGGGACATTTTTATTTCTCCCCTGCTGATATGTATACCATTTATTTCCTATTTTTTGGCTGGACTTCTAGTATTATAAAAACACAAAATATGGATATCCTTGCCTTGATCCTAATCTTAGGGAAAAAAAAAACACTCAGTCTTTCGCCATTAAGAATAATGAAGGTGTAAGATTTTTGTAGACACTCTTTATCAAATTGATTTTTAAATTGATGGTACAGCAAGTTGACTTATTGACAAGAAAGGGCACTAATGGCCTTATGAAAAGGTCAGTGGTTATGTGACTCAGAAAGGTCCACTATTCTGCTTTAAAGTGTTTTCTTATCTGAATGAAATTCACTAACTTGACATTCATTGTTTTGAGTAATGGCATCTTTTAAAAATGAAAGCCCTCTTAAAAAGGCTGATTTTATCCTGCTATAACTTACTTTTGTGGACTAGTTTATTTGTGTCTTCCCCCTTATCCAAGCACAGAATGTGTGGGATGTGTGGGGAGACAAAGGAGGAGCAGTTTTGGAGAAGAGGTGCCAAGTGCAGTAGGAATGGACTGAGTGCCTTTTCTAATTGGAGCACAGACAGACATTTTGAAAAAGATCTGAAGATTTAAAAAAATCTTTTAAATATTTTGCATCAAGTTTGTATTCAGGAGCTGTAATTTTTAAAATATAAATACTACACTCAGTTTTATTTTATAATTTATTTGTGAATGGTTTGCATTTGTTTGATAGACTACACTTGTTAATTCCTCCTGAAAATACATCTTGTGGAAGGCAAAAACATCCTGCTAATGATAAGGATTCTCTTGTTAAGAATGACAGCTTGTCATTATTTTACTTACAAAATAAGGAGATGACATATAATGCCAAGTTATAAGAATGAAGCACAGGTTATATTCCACAAAAAAGGAAAACTGTTTACTTCACTCAGGAGCATAATTACAGTATTTCATATCTTTTCAAGATTCAAAGAAATGTCCTAAATATTAACCTATATAGGTAGTAAGAATGTGAAATATTATTGTATTTTTCCTATGGTAATTTTATTTATGGAAAATTACTTACAATTTAATGGCTTTGAAAACTTTTACAATTTAATATGCTTATCCAACATAACTCAGCAATTCAGGTCATGCTACATAAAGTCTGGAGACTAGTGTTATGAATCTATTACTTCTAATTTGATTTTCTTGCTTCAAGATCATAATGAATCTCATGTTTGGCTTTCATTGCTGAAATTATAGAAAACCTATTGGTTTAAAATATATTGCCTCACTTGTTTCACCTTTCTCCCCACAGCTACTGTGTGGAATGATATTCTATTAGTTCTTCTGTCTAGGAAGTTTATACTATTTCTATTTTGGGCAAATAAGCTCCACCCAGCTTTTACAAAGTGATAAGGATCACTTTGTAAAAGGACAAGGCAAGAAATCTGATTAATAGACAAAAGGTTAAAGATGAAAGTACCTTGGAGTAGGCAATATATTGTGATTTATCAAGCAATTTTCATATTGATGAGAAGCCAGAATGAAAGATGGGCAAAAGAATTGTAAGAAAATACCTGTGTTCTCTGAATGAGTTCATGTCCCTTGACCCAAATGAACTGTATCCCAGGGATTGATTGTGCCTTTGAATGGATTGAAGGACCACTCTTGGTAATCTTTGAAGACATGTGGAGAGTAAGAGGATAATGCACAAATACTATTCCATGTGTAAAATGACATATAAATCATAACCAGTAAACTCAAATGTAATCTCAGGATTCTGTAATATATTACATTAGTGGGTGATTTGTGAGTATATGTGACCCTTGGACACTCGGTTTTATGTCCATTAAGAAAACCAGCATGTAGGCCTTCCTGTTTCATTTTGTGGAGGGTTACTATACCTAGGAATAATAGTAGACAAGGAATAGTGAAGAGAATGGTAGTGGAAGATTGAGCTTAGAGTCAATAAGGTATGTGGGGTCACAAGGTCTCAAAGGAACTAATGTGAGGATCTGAAAGGACATCAGGTATAAGATGAAAAACTTAAGATGTTTTTCTTTTACTCTGGATTTATACTATCTTTATCTTACTTTCTCTTGCTATGTGTGTGTCTGTTCATTTCTGTCTCTTATTCCAGAAATGTGGCTCACTCTGTATCTTAATTGTGACCCTTCTACATTTTTGTGACTCCAAAGATGGCCATGTCTTTAATATTCCAGTCATCTTCTTGATCCAATCATCTAATTGTGGGCATTTGGGTGGTTTCCATGGTATTCTTATTGTAAATAGTGCTGCAGTAAACATAGGGGCTTATGTATGCTTTTGAATAAATGTTTTTGTGTCCTTTGGGTAGTTCTCTGGGAGGGGGATTGCTGGGTCACATGGTAGCTCCATTTTTAGTAGTCAGAGGATTCTCCATATAGCTTTCCATAGTGGTTGTATCATTTTGTTCTCTCACCAGCAATCTTTTCTTATGTGAAACAGCTGAAGGAGTTAGAAGTGTTGATCTGGAGAAGAGTAGACATGGAATGTCCCTGACATCTTCAAATATTATAAAGAGACCTAAATTAGGAAGTTTAGGACCAGTGGATGCTCCAAGGAAGAAGATTTGGGACCAGCAAAAGAAAAAAATTCCCTGATAGAGAAAATGGCCAGAAGATGGAACAGACTGCTCTATTAGATAGTTTCTGTCATTTGTCAGAATAGGGTCTGGATGACACTTTTCTAGGTTGTAACAGACTCTGAACCCACCAGAGCTTGAACCAGGTTTTCTTTATTTCTTGTGAAGCTGTGCTTTAAATATCTGTAAGTGTGGCATCAGTGCCAATTAGATGATTCAGGTAGACCTGAATACCCCCATAGTATCATGTTATGGTTAGTAATTTGAAATTTTGACTGTTGTAGCTTACATGAATAAAATTTTCCAGGATAAAAATTTATAACTAGTTTTTTTTTTTTTTCTAACCAACTCCTGTAGTGGTATTGACATACAGGCATGTTAGCTGCACTTCTAGTTATAAAAGATTCTAGTCTTAAGGGAGCTACATTAGAAGTAAGTATTCCTCAAATAACGTAAGAGTTGCTTTGATTGTAGTGCTCTGAAGATGTCTTTTATTCATTGTGAATAATAAGACAAGTAGTGGCTGCTTGAGTAATACTTACATATGATGCAGAGAAAAAAGTAATCTCCCTCTTATCTTTGCTGAAATTCCATTTTTTACTACCCCTTGGTGGCCAGAGATAGAACATTTTACCTGAGGAAGTTAGCTGAAATACACATGGTAGATAGAAATAAAACAAATGGCTGCAGGCATAGATGCTGGTTTTAAATAGATTTGGTTTTGTCTCAGTATCACCTACCAGCTGGCTTTTTAATCTGAATAGTCTCTATTTTCTTATCTATATGATTGTGATCATACCCTACTCATGGGCAAAAGAACTGATTCAAGGAGAGAGATTAAGTACAAAGTGTTTTTCCTATTATTTTTATGATGGAATAGTAAAGTATATAAATGTCATAAAATATTAAAAGTGAACAGGAACTTAGAGTTCATTTGGTAAAAATCCCATAATTATACAGATGAGGAAAATACAATCTGAAAATGTCAAGTGGAATCCTTAGGCTCACAACTGTAGTGGCAGTGAAAAGTGTATGATTCCTTTCCACTTCTTGGAAAACTCAATACAGAAATGGTAAAAATTTTGTATTTTATGGGAAATATTTCAAAGGTATATTTTTCTTGAGATACCGTAGACAAATAGTTACTGTAAAAGCTCCTTTTCTAATTCCAAGATTTTGTGTCAGAGTCAATATCATATCTGTTTTTAAACTCTTATCCAGATGTAGTCAGTGTTAGAATTATTACCCATGGCATAGTACTATGTGGCTATAATAGCTTCAGTTGAATTTTATTTTTTAGAATTAAAAATAATACATCATTTTGGTAAATGTATGTTCTATTTTCTAGATGTCCCCTGAAGAAAAAGTCTGTAAGTTCTGTGGAGTCAGCTATTTAATTCTTCACGAGTTTAAGGCTATGGAAGAAAAAGTAAAAGCCATGGAAAAAGAGTTGAAATTTTATCAAGGAAGTATAGACCGTGAAAAGAGACTTCAAGAAAAGCTACAGGCGCTTAGTCAAGATTTTGAACAGTACAAAATTGACAATGAATCCAAGATGGAAAGGTTGGAGTTTGTTTTTCTTTTCTGTCATTTATTTAGTTTGAAAGAAAAGTACAGAAAGTTAACTTTAGATGTTTTTCTAAAATTTCTCTATAACAGATATAATTTGGATTTCAATAGACTTGACTTTGCTCATAATTGTTAATAATCAATAAATATATTTATTAGTTATAGTTCGATTGCTTATTTTTTTAATCTGAATCATTTGAAACCAGTAACTGCAAGTTGAGATGGGTCACAATATTTTTTCCATCATAAGTATATATTTTAATTTTATCATTAGGAACATTTGTCTAGCAAAACTCATGAATTTTGGTAATTTTTGATTCCAAACATTTATTTTTAAAAGGTCTTAATGATTTAGACTTATATATACTCTATTATTCTATAAGTTTTTCATGTTTTGAAAATAAAACCTAAACATTAAAATTGGTACATGACTCTAAATCATTGAAATTGAAATGAAATTAAAGGGCTTCTAACACTGTGAGATCTAATCAGCATTTTAGTCTTCCTAAAGACATTTTCAAAGAGTTTATGCAGACATTTAAATAGAATGACAATTTGTGTTTTATGACCTTTCTCTTTCTCCAGCTGACTTATTTCACTTAGCATAATATACTTATGGGTCATCCATGTTGTCGCAAGTGGCAAGAATTTATCTTTTATGTTTTTTATTTTTATTTTAACCATTTTGTTAGGTATAGTGGTATCACATTGCAGTTTTAGTTTGTATTTCCCTAATAGCTTATGTCAGCAAACATCTTTGTGTGTACATTAGTCTGCTAGGGTTGCCATCGCAAAATACCACAGACTGGGTGACTTAGATGACAGAAATGTGTTTTTTTGCAGTTTTGGAAGCCAGAAATCCAAGATCAAGGAGCTATCAGATTTAATTTCTGATTTTTAATCTTCCTCCCTTCCATTGAGTATAATATACATGCATACAAAATAGTCTATGGTTTAATTATGATATCTCATGACCTAGATTTTTTGGATTTATTCTATTTGGATAAAATCATTATCTTTTCTATCCTGGAAAAGAAAAGAAAAGAAAAAAACCCAACCTGTTGAATCTGTAATTGTATTTCTCTTGCCATATTTAAGAAGTTTCCAACTATTCTTTATTTGAATATTACCTACTCCTACTTTCTTCTCCTTTTCTGTTTCCACTTATATGAATATTACTTGTTTTTGTCAGTGCCCCATAAATCTCCCATAAAGACTCCATTGTTTATTTTTTTGTTTTCTCTAGTTGTTCAGTCTTGAACAAATTGTTACTTTCTCCTAAAGTTCACTGATTTTGTCTTTATATTCTGTTGTAGTGTACACCTAGTGAGTTTTATTTTATTCATTTTATTATTTATTTTATTATTTTTTTAAGATTTATTTATTTGTGCATACAGAACTGGGGTACAGGCCAGAGACTCAGGGTTGGCGAAAGACTTCACCAGAGACAGAGTGGGGAGCAGAACAGGCAGACTGACGAAGTACACTGCTGAGGGGAGCAGTGGGCAGGTCAGGAGAGGTCTGCCACTCCATGTGGTCACCTCCGGGGCAGGTGGGAATCGAACTCATGCGGAAGTGGTTTCAGCTTCTTAGTGCAGTGCTTTAACCTGCTGCGCCACCAGGGAGGGCCTCATTTTATTTTTTAGTTTCATAATTTCTATGTTTCTATTTCTCTTTCTTGTTGAGATGTTCTTTTGTTTCAAGAGAATTTTTAATTGCATTTAAAATGATATTTATGATGGTTTCTTTATAATCCTCAGATAATTCCAATATCTGATTCATTCAGTGATGTCTGCTGACTGTCTTCTCTCATTAATACTCTAATATTGTCATAATAATTTCCATTGTATTCTGATTGCTTTGAGACTTCTGTGAGACTGTGGATCCTATTTCAATTTTTTTTTTTCAATTCAGCAGGCACTTCCCTGTGAGGTATGGTATGAAAGCCAGGTAGGTGTGTTCAAACAGAGGCCCGCTGATACTATTCTAACAAAGTGGAGCCTTGACTCACCCTGCCTGTATTAGATTAGAGGAGTGGACATTCATTCAGACCTTTGCGAGGGAGGGGATGGGTCACCAACTTGAACTACTTGTGTCTCTGCTTGAGCATATAAGCTTAGTTCCTGCTGTGAACTCAACATCAGCAGGGAGAGTCAGAGCCGACTCACGTTGTTGTGTTGCAGTAAGATGGGACAGAAGCTTGGCTTTGCACTGTCCCCATTGACACCACATGAATGGGAGGAGTGCTGGCCAGTCCTACCTCTGTGCTGGCTTGGCCCTGGTTGATACTGATGGGAATGGAAGGTCAGCAGCCTGCTATTCCTAGGACCCTGAGTGGAGAGGCAGAGTGGTGACTATTCTGTCACTTTACCTTATCTGCCTCACTGACTCCAGGTGGACTGGAGGCTCCTCACGGATGTGGTGGAGGTAGGAATAAGGAGACCCTAAGTCCTGGTTTTCACTACTGTGTTTTCTCTTTGCTACAGTGGCGTGTGGGGATTTAGTTCCCCATAGGTCTCACTGACAGCAGGTAGTGAGAGTGCCATTTAAAAAACACTTGTTCTTTTTCAGGCCACTGAAAAATAGCTGCAGTAGACACAGCATGGTTAACAAATAATTTACACTGTTCAAAACACATTTTCTTAAAATCTCAATTTATACATACACATTTGAATTTATTATATTGGTATTTGTACTATGCTTAATTTAAACTTTAGAAGTCTAAACAAGTTTTATTCATACTATCATGTCTAAGACAAGCCCCTTTTATTATCTTTTACTTCACTCCACACTAACACTAGATAGGATTTCTGACTAAAGTCCTTAGGTATAGGCATATTTTTTATTGCCTTTTTATTTCTGTGACGTGCAAACAGTGAGTAGAAGTTGACAGTGTTTTTACCCTTGTATACATAATGTTTACACGGGTTTCCTCGTTACTAGATCTGCAAGGTTATGGAGAATAGTATGTATTTAACAACACTGAGGACCTATGTATCCATGTATAGCTTTTATTACCAGGATAACTTTGAAAGCCCTCTGTGTATCATTATGTTGTTGCTATAGCAACATGGTTATCAAAATACAATATGGCTTTTCTGCTTTTTTCCACAAGCTTTTTTAGTCAGCATAGTAGAGTTTTGGCCCCAGATATTTATTATTTCTCTTTACCTTTCTATCTTGAATTTTTCTTACTTAAAATTATTTATTATTCTAATATAAAATGCTATTTTATTTTAAAACATTTTTTTAAGATTTATTTATTTATGCATACAGAACTGGGGTACAGGCCAGAGGTGCAGGGGTGGGTGAGAGGATTCACCAGAGACAGAGCAGGGGGAAGAACAGGCAGGTAGATGAAGTACACTGCTGAGGGGAGCAGCAGGTGAGACAGGAGAGGTCTGCTGTGCCACGTGGATCACCTCTGGGGCCGGAAATCCAACTTACACTGAAGCAGCTACGCTAGCTTGCAGTGCTGTGTCCTAACCCATTGTGCCACCAGGGAGGGCCTAAAATGCTATTTTTATTGGACTGAATCCTAGAGGGAATGATAAGAATGAATGAAAGGGAACAATATATGATATTGATATTGAGTAAACAGTAGAGGTTTTGCTGTTACCTAGCCCCTGACCCAGCCTCATCATCTTTTTGTACCATTGTTTCTTTATCTATAAAACAGTTATAGAAATGTCTACTTCACAGGGATTATATACATACTGCCCTGTGCCTGGCAGGAGTTCAACCATGTTCCCTTCTCTCACCTTCCTTTTTCCCCTTTTCATCCATTTTTGTTACTTAGGGTTAATAACTTGAGTTTTTTTCAAGTTACTGAAAAATATTGACATCATCCCACTCCTACCTACTTTGATATGTAAACATTGCCTGTTATCACAAGAGAGGTTCTTGGGAAGAGGAAATATCCTAATCACAGCTCCATCACAAGTATTAATTCTAGCTTAATTGGGGTGTCTTTTTAGAATGCTTAGCTCAACTTTGACTCAGCCCACAGCCTGTTTCTGCTCCGTGGTGTAGAGGTTTTATAGGAAGCACACTTTAGAACTTAGTTGTTAACTTTTATTTATTATATCCCTCTTCTTCTCCCCCCCCAAAAAAAGGTGTTTTAAGAGGATATTTAAGAGGATATAATAAAACTAACAACATTGGGGGCAGTGGGGAAAGAAACTGAGGTGTTAGACAAAAACCAAGAGACGAAACATGTCAACACTGTGGGTCAACCATTAAGTACAGCTTTCCTGTATGTGCTTTTAGCTGAGCTTCAGGAATATCTGTTTTTGTAGCAGTGGAGTAGGGGTTCAGGAAGTTGGTTTTATTTATTTGTCTGTTTAGACACAGCTGATTTAGCCCTACGAGAATCTACATCAGCTTCCTGGTGGCCCAGGGAGCAGGAGTTTTGTAAGAATCTGGGCCAGACCAGCAGGACCTCGGGGCTGCCCCTCCAGTGCTGCTGGCCCCGAGTGACTCTAAGGAGCACAGCCCTGATGCGCCTTTCTATTTGTCTCCTTTCCACGCTCATCTTTCCAGCCGACTCTTGACTGCCTCATTTACCACTAGGCTGAACAAACAAGTTATATCATTTTATTTTAGCTTAGGAATAGGAAAATTTTTGTTTGCTGCAGATTTGAATTAATACATCTTCAAAAATTGTGCAATTTGGTTGCATCTCAGATTCGTTATATACTATTCACATATTTCAAAATGGAAACAATTTCAAATTGTTCAAATGGAGAAAAGTGAATGAACTCACTGAGTGAGATATAATCATCAACTCTGTATCTTCCATTTAATGGATGGCTAAGCAAACAAAAAGAGATTAAATAACTGCGCTCACACTGCTGACTAAATCCTTTATCTTTTTCTATTCTGTAATATAATTATCACAGAAACCAAAAAACATCTGGCTATGGCAAGCTGTGGCACGAAAACATTCTCTTTGGAAACCTGTTCTGAATCAATAGGCCATGCCAATTCTTGAA